TATCTTGACTTTTGTTAACAGCTTCGTGTTTCTCTAATTGGAGGAATGAAGTGGTGATGTGACTACATAATACGTTGGCAAAATAGATAGGGTGAAGGAAATAAGGTTGGGTACTGAAATAAAGACCACACACTTGTGAATTTTAATTTCATTTCCAGGCTAACCTACTTTTTATTTAATGCAAATTACAGTACCAGTTAACTATTTCCAAACCAAGTCACATAGAACGAAATGTATTTACAAGGGAATGGGGAAAGGGAAAAAAAACATTGAGCATACTTTTCACAAAAAAGTTTATATTTAAAATGAAAAAAAAAAAATCAGTCACAGAGGCATTCAAGTAGTAATAATGTTATACAGATTTTGCTTTTCCTTTATATCAAGACAGATTTGCACAAGTGTTTGCAATAGTTTGTATACAACCCACAGTCCTTTATATATATATATATATATAATAATAAATTTTGTTTTTTAGATTTGATTTTAAGATGGAAGTGGTCACGCTAATTGGTATGTGTACAGGCCCAAGTGATCCATCGGCAACACATTTATGAATGCAAATTTTACAGGCAAGCACATTTTCATACATCTATCTGTATCTGCCTGTAGACAGATATAGTAAGAAAAAAAACTTAAAAATTAACACAAGGAAGTCTACTTTGTCAAGTTAACCCCTTATGTACTGGTTGTCATTTTGCTTTTATTGCAGAGGTGCAAATGGAGCAACAAACGTGAATCAAACGTCACAACCCTTGTGAAAAGAATCCAGACCCCAGAGATGACTTTCAAAGCCTCTGAAACAGACCGTAGTCTGGGGCTCTACTCTGCTTCGAGTTATTTTCAGTGGCTCAGGTTTCTACCAGAAAAGACAGATTTTACTGTAAAGCATACTTAATTTTTATATATAAGGGATATAAGGGAGAAAGTGTTCGACTCTGTGATTAGATGATCACTAACATGAATGAGAAATCAGATACAATTTTGGTTTAAAACAAAAGAAAAACCCCCAAGCTCCTGGGGATCTGGCATTGGCCAAACTTCCTTTGGAAGATTCCAAAGTTAAATCCCTTAAAAAGAGAAGGGAAAAAGAAATGAAATGCCAGTGTCTTTATATCCACAGGGATAGAGAATACAACAGTCCTCTTAGAAACCTTTGCATTGGTGCAGACAAGATGACTGGTTAGGCAGGCTTTGTGAAAACACAAATAAAAATATGTGTCTAAAAATAAGAGGACTTAAAAAAAAGGACACAACATGTTGCTGGAAAGAAGGTGCAGTCTTCTGCCTTGCTGGAATGAACACATGATATTTCAAAAATAGCAAGCTTTGGTTTGGTAAAGTTTTTTTTTCTTCTACTTGAGACATCTTATATGGAGTACTTGGAGGCAAAACAAGTAATTTTGATTTTTTCTTCTTTTGAAAAAGGCCTTCATGATGGGCACACAGTAAGAAACAGATTTTTTTTTAAAGATAAATTAAAATGACATTTCACTGAATAGGGGTAGAGGTGACAGGAGGGAGGGAAGTTCCCTTGTGAAAACAACAGTCCTCACCGCGTGGGCGGCAATCGTGCAGCAGCCGCTAGTAATTGCACCACAGCATTTTAGACCACTCGTGTATCAAAACCGATACAAGTATTAAGAAACATCGATTTACAAAAACCAATTCTCTCTCTCTTTTTTCTCTCATTTGAGAGGGAAGTAGATGAAATGGAGAGAGAGAGAGAGAGAGAGAGAAAGGGCAGAAGGCTCCCGGAATCTGCTGTTTGTAAGACCCATGGTTAGGGTTTGGGGGAAGAGACGAGCAACATCTACTCTATTCCATATTCTCCGGCTCGAGGGCTCCCTGGCACTACACTAAGTCCCTGGATGAAATGGAACTGGTCACTGCTACTGAGGAGGAAACAGATGTTCAGAACCAAAACAAAGGTAGGGCTTGAATGAATTGAGATTATGAAAATAATTATGGTTTCCTCTTTCCACTCCTGAGCATGGTAACTGTGGAAGGGGCAAAGACACTGTTATGAGTGAGCCATTACTTCAAAGGGAAGGGGGTGGGACAGGGAGACATGGATATTCAGACCAATTAAAATCTGCAAAATGAAGAACAGAAACAAGAAAACAAACACATGGAAGCGAAGGCACTCCAAACTATATAGATACACTATACATCGCTAGAGTTATTGTTACAATAATACAGGCCGGTACCTACTGTACAGAGTTAAAACTATATGGCTTTAAAAAGCTCGTCTACAATTTGTCTGATTATTAAACAGAATCACTGCCCTGAACAGTAACTTTTTGCTCATTAATAACAGTTCCTGGGTCCACATATTTACATACAAAACAATAGAACTTAAATTTTAAAACATTGAAAGAAAATATAATGTACAAGCTTGAATTTGGTGAGGAGCTTTTATTATTATTATTTACAAAAAACATTATTCAGAGACCTGGATCCCACTTGTATAAAAGAGTTCTGTGATCCCACCATGATCCTTGAGAAAGAAAAATGACAAACCTCAGCCCTCACACACACACACAATTAAAATGAGAGAAAAACATTTGACTTTTCTCTCTTCTTCTCTTACCCCATTTATGCGGGAAAGTGTTTCCTAAAAGAAGCACGGATTTTTATGTTCTCCAGCAAGTATACCAAGTTCAGAGTAGTGTCTGTGTCCACATGTTTGTCTGGGTAGTTTGGTCTCAAAGTAGGTCCACTTCTGTGTCACAGACCTGCCATCCAGCTCCTTTATACACCCTTTCTGAAATGGTCTATCAAAACCATTCCCTTTAAGAATTATGCTGTCAAATACTTTGATTCAGACTTCTTTCAAATCTTAATTTACTCTCAGAAGCTCATTATGAAAAGTAAAATGCAATTTGTTTGATTTGGTTTGACTGAGTGTGTTTCCTTTCTCACTAACTCTGATATAACCAGAGGTTGGAGAAACCCTTCTGTGGCTTAAGAGCTTAGCTGGACAGTGAAAATTAGGATGGCTCACAGATGCCTCTCTGGATACTGGTTCACATCAGCAGGCAGTACGACTCTCTCAGAGAGTCACACACACTTGGTTAAGAAGCAGGACAGGGTGCTGGGACCTGCGTGAGGGCTGCCAAGAGACTCCACTTCCAAATCACCTGGCGGGCGAAGCCCCTAACATGACCTAAGGTGACAACAAGGAGGGTGAAAGGTTACACACAGTCTGGGGCTCAGCTCTGCAGCCCTACAGTTATCAGCTAACCTTGGAAAGGTATGTGGGGAAGGAAGGAAGGTAGGCGGGAAAGGCGGCCATCACTCAAGTGATCTTTAAATGTAAAGTACAACTGATTGTGCCTTAAAGATTCATAGGTCAAGTAATGGCCCATAAGCACCAAGGTGTCTAAGGTTCATTTTAGAGTATATAAGGCCCACATAGATGTCAACCTTAAAAATATAAAACAAACTAGCTGTGAAAATCTATTTCCTCACTGCCAACGTAATCCTTCAAATCTCCTTGCTTTCCAAGGAATATTGCTTTTTCTTCAAAAACAGAGACTGAGTCTTACACTGTTCACTGATTATATGAAGAAAACAAAAACTCTTAACTAGGTGTAGGGGGAAACATCCTCATGCTTCAACTAGTCAAATTTGATATTGTGGACAAAAACAGAAAGACAGAACAAAACAAAAAATCCCCAAACAAAAGGCAGTACTGAATCTATGTATATAACACATATACACATTTATATAATCAGTTTTCCTATAAAGTCAGCAGGTACAAGTGACTGTTTTTATCATTTTGATGTGTAGTTTTCAATATTCCTACCATCTAAAATCATCATGGCCTATCTCACATGCATCAATAAATATAATTTAAAAAGCTTGAGGTTAAAAAAGCTGAAATTAAATACAGATTCTGGATTTGGAGTTAAAATTAGAACTATATGCAGAATGTAGCAATTTCTGCAAGCTCAATTTGCAATTAAAAAATACGAAAAATAAACCAGTAGACTGTTACAATTCACATTATTTAACTACAATGTCCTCTCAAGTGTATCTTTCCAAGGGAAGCAACTTTAGAAAAAAAAATCTGGACAAATTCATTCACAGTGGTGAGATCTGCCCGGCCCATCCTCCTCTTCCAGGTTCATCGGCTTTTACCTCTGCAGCCAGAGTGGCCGGCTCAACACCCTTCTCGTTCTTCTCCTAGGTCACTAGATTAAAACTGTACTAAGTTTTATAGAGAACCTTTGGTCTGGCAAACAAAGACCCACACAAAGAGCACACACGCTTCTCCCCTGACAGCTTCAGAAGTTTCTTTACCTACAGAAGTTTCTTCACCACTAGCATTGATAAGGGTAAAATAAAACCTTGACATCAATTAAGAATTTTCCCCTTATAGATTCAAACTTTATTGACCTCCCGGGTTACAAATGACACACATTTCCTTTGTCTGCCACACCTGCCATTGACAAGCCAAAGGCAAGTCTTCAAGTACCCGAGGATATGGATTAATTTTACAAGTGACATTTAAGTCCCCATTGAGTTACACCTGCTAAGCTCCCAACCAATTTCAAGCTGTGCACTATACCCAAGTCTTACACTTGACTTTAAAGAAAACAAAGTTCAAAAAAACCTCAGCACAGAACAAAGTCGTCTTCTTTTGTGGAAGGGGCATGAGGCAGGAGTCCTGTTTTTAAAGTATACAACAGCAGACTTTTGATAAAAAAAGATTGTCGTGGGAGAGAGACTGTGTGTTCTAGTGCTCCGCTTTCCCCCTCCCCACAACCCCTCCCACCCCTGGATCTCCCTCAAGTGAGAATACAATGAAACTGGTTTGTATTTATAGATATTTTACAAGGTTAAATAAGAACAACAATAATAAAAAAAATTGAACACTAAAATGAATAGGGTTTTTTTTTCTCTTTTTAATTTTCTTTCCAATCGTGACCAGTGTTGCTGAGTGACACTCAAGTAAACTGGTGGTTGTTCCTGTGCAGCTGGCTGCTTGGGACTGTTCAGGAGGAGTCGGAAGCTGATGCAGAAGCGGCATTATTGGTCTGTCCACGGTCTCCAGCATTAGCATCTGCAAATTGAAAGCCCCAAGAGAGAGCATGAACAATGCTGTAATAATCCAGAGAGAAAAGAACGTGGCCTCAACTGCAGACTGAGAGCTGTATCTGGAGTGTTGTTTTAAATATGGCCAATACTATGACATCTCAGTCCCTCTGCTGGATCCCCAGGTTGGGAAATCTGTTGTGGGCGCTAGAACTTTTACAGCAGTGCGAGAACTTCTTTCGTATAATTGTTCTCTAGTTTGCAGGTTGTCTGCTAGGCAGTCTACGGTGGGGCTAATGGTGACCTCCTCCAAGAGGATTTATGCCACATGCCGCGCCTCCCAGGTCTGCGGTAGCCAGAGTCCCTCCCTCCGAGGCAGACCACTGTTGACCCGTGCCTCCACAGGAGACACTCAAAGACAGGTCTGGCTCAGTCTCTTGTGGAAAATTCTTAAAGAGATGGAAATACCAGACCACCTTACCTACCTCCTGAGAAACCTGTATGCAGGTCAAGAAGCAACAGTTAGAACCAGACATGGAACAATGGACTGGTTCCAAGATGGGAAAGGAGTAAATCAAGGCTATATATTGTCACCCTGCTTATTTAACTTATATGCAGAGTATATCATGCGAAATGCAGGGCTGGATGAACCACAAGCTGGGAGAAATATCAATAACCTCCGATATGCAGGTAACACCACCCTTACGGCAGAAAGTGAAGATGAACTAAAGAGCCTCTTGATGAAGAGGAGAGTGAAAAAGCTGGCTTAAAACTCAACATTCAAAAAAATTAAGATCATGGCATCTGATCCCATCACTTCTTGGCAAATAGATGGGGAAACAACAGAAACAGTGACAGACTTTCTTTTCTTGGGCTCCAAAATCACTGTGGATGGTGACTGTAGCCTTGAAATTAAAAGATACTTGCCAAAACCCACTGCAATGATGTAAAGTAATTAGCCTCCAACTAATAAAAATAAATGGGAAAAAAAAAAAAAGATACTTGCTCCTTGGAAGAAAATGATAAACCCTGACAGCATATTAAAAAGCAGAGATGCTACTTTGCTGACAAAGTTATGTCTAGTCAAAGTTATGGGTTAGTTTTTCCAGTAGTCATGTATGGATGTGAGAGTTGAAGTGTAGAAGGCTGAGCATTGAAGAATTGATGCTTTTGAACTGTGGTGTTGGAGAAGACTCTTGAGAGTCTCTTGGACTGCAAGGAGATCAAACATCCATCCTAAAGGAAATCAGTCCTGAATATTCTTTGGAAGGATGGATGCTGAAGCTGAAGCTCTAATACTTAGGCCACCTGAAGTGAAGTGTTGACTCATTGGAAAAGACCCTGTGCTGGGAAAGATTGAAGGCAGGGGGAGAAGGGGATGACAGAGAAGATGGATGGATGTCATCACTAACTTGATGGACAGAACTCCAGGAGATGGTGAAGGACAGGGAAACTTGGCATGCTGCAGTCCATGGGGTCGCAAAGAGTCGGACACGACTGAGTGACTGAACAACAATAACAACGCTTTGAAATCTGAATTTCTTTCTGCACAGATCTAAGTATGTGCCTTGGGTGGGTCTCGGTGCAGGAAGATGGTGCCTCTGCATAAGCTACAGACTTATGCCAGAGAACATTTCTATCAAAGCTCTTGCCATAGTTGGGATTAACATAGGATGAATATTCAACTGGAATCCAGCTTACCTGAAAATAAATGAACAGTGCACAGCTTGGAAAACTTGCTAGAAATTCTGAATGGTGTTATAATATGCCATCTGCTTAAGTGGGTGAATGAGTGGAAGCAATGAAAGCAATATGGGTCAGTGTTGATAGGCAAAAGCACCAAGCGTAAATCAAACTCGACTACTTGCTTTCTAAGTATAGTCCTTCTCCATTATTCACAGAAATGGAAGACACAACCAGCAAAGAAATAGCCACTGAAGGACCAATTCCCTTATTCAATTCAATAAAGTATCTTAGAGTCAAACATCAGAGCATTTGAGCTTACTTTGCCTAACACTCTGGAAATACATATCTTTACTACTTCCTTTAATCCACACCCCCACCGCCCCAACACACACACTTTTTAAGGTCCACTATTTCAAAGCCTCCAGTAACATTTAAAAAGGCATTTAACTGTGTCCAGATTGGCTCTCCATCTTGGGTAGGCAACATACTGCTGTTTCAGTGGCTAGTCAAGTTGCATCTCTGTCTTACACACATGACTGGGATATATGGCTAGGCAAATTTCCTCTCAAAAACTTCACACTAAGCCCTGATCAAGAAGAGAGGTGGCCTGACTGAGATGGGCAACTTCCAAGAGCCACCATCCTAGAAGTCCACCACTCTTAGCCATCAAGCCTGGTGACACCAACAAAACAGAAGTTCTATCTCCCTCTGGAGACTGTAGCTTTCCTGAATCCTATGAGTAAATTTTATGGCTGAATGCAACATTTGGTCCTTGAATCTTTCTACTTTGAATTTTTTAACTGAGCAGAAAACTGACCCCAAGGACACACAGCAATTCTAACTTAAGGAACTCTTGTTGCTGTTCAGTCGCCCAGTCGTGTCTGACTCTGCAACCCCACAGACTGTAGCACACCAGGCCTCCTTGTCCCTCACCATCTCCTAAAAGTCTGCCCAAGTTCATGTCCATTGCATCAGTGATACCATCCAGCCATCCCATCCTCTGACATCCTCTTCTCCTGCCCTTAATCTTTCCCAGCATCAGGGACTTTTTCAGTGAGCCAGCTGTTCCCATCAGGTGACCAAAATACTGGAACTCTTTAAGGATTAGATACTCAGCTTATCATGTTGATGGCTACTCTTTAAAAACTATACTTCCTTCCAAAATATCTGATTATTCCTTTAAACAATCTGCCCTTATACTTAACTTAACCTTTGGGGAAGAAATGTTTCTATCTCTTAATATGAATGGTTGTGTTCATTCATTTTATTTCCTTCAAAACAGCTTCAAAAATGCTTCTAATCCTATTTTCATGCAAGTAAGTGCAGGCATTATGACATAAGGGTTCATCTATTAGGTCCACATTGCCCATGGCATGGCATCACATTAATTTATCTGTATGGCTCAAGGACAGGTGGCAAGAGAGGATATATGATATTTAACATAGAACCTATGCTCCAAAGGCAGGTAAACAGTCTTTCACATTAACCAGTTAGTAACTGTACCTAATACTTCATTCATAACTCCTGTTTTTTCTTGTACGTGCCCTGCTTATCAGGAGTTTTATTCTTAATGATCATTCAAATTCTGTGTCTGAATAACCTAACATCAATTCCTATTCAGGCCACAGGTTCCTATAAGGCTTTTGCAGGAAAAATGTTCATTTTCATAATTTAGGCACAGGCTGCATTAAAAACAACACTCCTGAGAAAGCCTGGAAGACACAAACATAAGTCAGAATATAACACTCCTCACAAACCCTGCCATTTAAGCATCTCTCATGCTCTGGACAACACTCAGAACCTATGCATGATTATCATCAAATAGAACTTCTCTCTCATTTTTAACATGTGAGGATGACAGGTGTGACAGGATGAAACTGTCACATTATGGTTTTCCTCAAGTCTTTGAGATCCACCAGTCTTCAGGAATTTATCAGCACACATATCAGCATTGTCACACCCCTGGCCATGCTGGTCATTAGCTATCAGCCAACACTCACCAGGACTCATCTACATTGCCAGCCAGCCCATTATTACTCTTTGGCAATACCCTATTTAGCTACTAATCTGCAGATGACCTTGTACTGGCTATTACCTATGAGTTTATGACACTCCCCAAACTAGTCTCCTCTTCCTTGGATAAATCCAAAGACCTGCTGATATGATTATAATAAAAAGCACAAGCCTTTTAAGTGGACATATAATAAAAAACAAAATCACCTTCTGAATGATAAAATTTTAAAAGACATTCGTATTTCTCAGGTTTGTAATTTAATGATCTCTTCTTTTTCTTTGAATCATTTCCAAATCACTTGATGAGTAAAATTTTAACAGCGAATTACTTTGATTACAATTATTCTTGATATCTAAAGTCACAGCACTGAATTCATTCATCAAATACAAACCCAAAAAATAATCCCAAAACCTCTGCCCAGTGCAGTGAGCTCTACTTAAAACCAGGTTATAAAAGTCCTTGCTGAGAAAAAGAATAGAGTTCTCTATTTTTCAGAGGGATATAAAACAAACACAAGGAGGAGAAAAGCAAAACAAACAAAAAGATGTGAACTTCCATAAATTCAACAGTAGCTCCCCAACAGACTGCCTGGTTCATTGAACGAGCAAAGCTGTGTTTTTAAAGTTCTTGGTGTATATACCAGTTGTTACCTCTGTAACCTTGGGCAAATTATCTCATTTCTTTGTCCATTCATTTTTCCCGTTTTCAAAGTGGGTACAATAATTGTGCCTATTCTTACAATGAGGGCTGAATGACATATTTGCAACATACTTGGTATGATATCTGGCACATTGATAAGCACCCAGATGTCAGCAGCTGCTATCACTGATGCTGTGGTGATGGTGGTGGTTATTGCAGTCACACTAAATTACACATTTGTGTATTTCTAGATGTCTCTTTTATCTTTCCATTTATTGGACAATTACTAAGCACTTCTTAGGCCTTATTACATAGATGGTGGTATTATCACCATTTTACGTATGGGGAAATTGTGGGTAGAGAGGTTAAATAACTGTTCCATAATCACACAGCTATTGAGTTGTACAATGGAGTTTCATACTCAGTAAATATTTGTGAAAAAACTTTTGTGAAATTGCATTCGACTTAAGGAAGATAAACAATCTTAGCCTGTTCTTAAATCATAATGCCAGATTGCATCACTTTTATCAGTACATATGTAAAGAGAAGGGAATGAAGAATCAAGATGAGCTTTGTTGCTTTTATTTTTTTTTTTTTCCATTTATTTTTATTAGTTGGAGGCTAATCACTTTACAACACTACAGTGGTTTTTGTCATACACTGAAATGAATTAGCCGTGGATTTACATG